TTTCATCAACCTGAATTAAATTGTAATTGATGCTCAGTAAGTTCGCACATATGGTACTGCCTTCGGAAAAACCAACCTTGTGAAAATGATATTTTCTTTATCGGGTCATGTACATCAACTGCCAGATACATCTCAAACAACATAATCGTTATACAGATAACTCAGATTGTTGATACTGCATTATTATTTTACATTCTAAGAACTTTTAATCATCAATTCATTTGTTTGCATCTGTGCCATCCATTCAGGTCAGTATAAACAGGACATCTATATAACAATGCAATCATTTCTGTTGTCCACAGTTCAGGTTTGCACTTCTTTACATCGAATGAAACGGACTTTCGAGCAGAACAGATCGAATTCTCACTGCTCTCAGTCACCCACATCACCCCAGATGAATGAACTCCTGAACCAAGCATATCTGATGACCGAATTTGGATAATTACGCTAACTAATTGAGATAGATGTATGTGGCCACTTACGGGTGATCGACCTCGTTCGGGGCCAGATACAGGCAAAATGATTCTGTCGCTCTATTGCACTCACTCTGTGCGTGAACGAGTTTCATTTTGGGCGGAAACGTTAAGTGCGTTTCTCGCATTCCAATCATACACCCTGCGCTAAAAGTAATCTCCAGGCGACCGTTGTAATTTTCTGTTGAGAAAATGAACACAAATTTGGGGAGGAAGCTGAAATATGAACTTTCATTTGATGTTGTAGATGAATACTCATCGTTAATGAGCTCGTTCGCTACTGTGCCTTATTCTTGTAATCTGCATGACAACTTGAAACCATGGTAAATAAACCCACGATAGATTATAGTCAGGGAAACACCGTGATAACAAGGACCGTATGCTTACATCACTCACAAGGAAACTGAAGGAAGAGGAAACATTTCAAAGATGGCCAAATGAAGACTTTACTAACTACACTACACACCGGAAGATATTTCGGACCCCAGTTAGAATCGACACTTTTCGAGAGATGGTTTGTAACACGTAGGATATAAGTGATCGACCAGATTCATAAGATACAGCCGGCAGATGAAGCCGCATTATGAAAACCACTACAAGCAGAAACAAAAAAACAGGTGGAACGGAGTGCACGAAAAGAAAATCTCCGAAGGAAAATTTGACGAAGTTTGTTAACGATCGTTTCAGACTCTGAAGCCGTGCATCTGAAATGGAATAATGATTCGGTTGAACTTGTCACGATGTAATCGAATTTGGAAACTATATACGCGCATGTCTCTATCAAATCGCAAGGTGAAAAACACAAGAGAGATTACATCTACTTTGGGGGTAAATATTGATTTTCTGGTTTTGCTACGTAAATTTCCTTCTGATATGGTCTACGGAAGGCAGTTCAGGCAACGCATCAGCGTGAGCAATTAGATGATGTCGAGGAGTATCTTCTCAGTCAGAAATACAACCGAACAATCATGAAACATCTTTGGGGTGCATTCCCACAGTAGAACACCATTCTCCATCAAAGGCCATATCAAATTCTAATTTTTGAAGGCTTTTCAGGGTAGGAGGATACACAATTCGTAACTGATATCTGACAAAATTGCACAAGTACTTTTGAGATATCAGAACAAGGAGATTGCCAGAATGCAGCTCATATATGAACACAGTGAAAATATTCACGACATTTTCGGGAGATAGGCGAACCGGGACGCAACAGTTGGTGTGACAGAACACGACATGAAGGTATCACTGTTTAGACAGTGAAATAATCATCCAAAATCTCATGGAGAGTATATCAAGAAAGATGACTGAAAATTCGGAAGATGCAATGATCAATTAATCAATATTCCCCTTGTTGAATCCGATTAAATGCGTACTGGGAGCATTTTTCATACTAAATCTTTAAATTGGGTTATTGCTCATATTATTATTATTATTATTATACGATGCCCGTAAGTGTTCAAATAACCACAAAACATTCACATTCAATACAAATGTTGCGGGATTTTGTTAATAGTAAGATAAACTGTACTAATGGGCCAACTCCATGATTTGGAAATAACATGAATGCGAGGTGGGGAGTGGGGTTGTATTGATGGAACAATCCAACAAGAACCATTATGTTGTTCATGTTTGTGAAGAGATAAAAATCCTGTACAGGGTGGGAAACAGCAGTGTTTCACACGTTTACAGTCCACAGAAAAGAAAAACGGCTGTAAGATAGCAAGTTACTATCCAAGATTGATTGTGTGAGATCTAGATGATAGAGGAATTAAAACCTGTGACGGAAATCGCCAAAGCGATTTCTGGAAAATGTAAATCAAAATAATTCATGGACAAAAGAGATAAGGAAACAATTAGAAGAAAGCTCGCTTCAATATGTTCTTCTTCATAATGTACAAAGTAGAAAAGAAGATATTTCTAATGTTCCTACAATAAGTGACCACACTGTTCAAATTTTTGAATGACTACCGGCTTTTCATAACAGCAACCGGCGATTTGTCTTCAATGTAAGAGGCTCGTGTGGGTATAAATGAAGATTACGAAGAAGGATGATTGTCTATGAACTCAAGATAGATAAGAAGATTGTCAAGTGTCAGAATTGAGAGACATTCGTCGTGTCGTATTAGTTTCNGTTGTTACTCTAACAGCAGCTCGATCCCGAAGCAGCGTTTTGTTGAGAGCCTAGATTGATTCCAATTCCGACTGATTTATCAAAACATCTTGACGTGATTGCGTTTCCTAACACATTATATAATTCCGGTCCGGTTCATTCGCTGTTGAATAAAGCTCACCGAATCTTTCAACCTCGCTCGGTGACTCATTCAACGCGTATTTTGGATTGCCTATAGAGAAATCAGTTTATTCACCTGGACGGGGTTCAGATCGACCCGGTGGCTTGTAACGGATGGGGCACCTACCACTTGATGTCCTTCTTAGTAGAATGCAATTGGCAGAATTCATCTGAAGTTACCATGGTTTCAACTAAACTTAAGAAGGTATAGTTGCCAGTTACCAAGAAGACACACCACACACACGCCGAATAATTACAGTACCTTTAATTTCACCGATTTCGCTATTTTTATTGAATCAACAATCGCAAGTTTCTTAAAACAGTAATGTTGTTTGTTATTTTGACTACAGTTACTGTGGCAGTGCTTGGTTTCCCCCAAACCCCGGCAAGCCGCATTTTGTGATGTTTCCCTTACGTTGCAACTGAATCCTCTTAATGAACTCCCAGCTTTATCGCCCTATTCGAAAAATCTGCTTCACGTCGCTGGTTTCCGCATTTAATGCGGATACATGTACATCTGTAGCTGAATAAAAGCACGCGAGGTTGACAGCCAATGTTCATCCCGTTCGAAATCGAATTATTATGCTATTGAATCGCGGTAAGGAAAATATACTAGATCATTTATCGTGTCACATGCAAAGATATTTTTCCCGGTGTTTGCAAAAGTTTCCACATACCAGATTATTGCTTGAAGTTTGTCCGGATTGAGACTATAAAGATGAGAGTCAATCATTGGAGATCGAGTGAAAGAAAGCCTGGCAGTTCGGAAGCGGCCTTGCATAGGGTTATGTCATTCACATTGTTTAAAACGTGCTCAGGAGAGATGTGTTGGCTAAATGAGTTTTGATGTAAGCCAGCAAATGATACGTTAAGCGCACAGAACACAAAAGCAGTTGGTTGGAATTCGTTCCATCCAGATCAATCAATGCATGCTCACAGTTTCGGACGCAACTAAATAACCAAAATCCGCTGATTTGAACAATCGGAAGAACTTGAACTGACCTGACTCAAATTGAATTAACTGAGTCATAATGGTCACACAGAATTCACACAGATGTTTTCGGTTTTTTTAATGAAAGCCGAAAGAGAGTGGACAGCATTTAAGGTTCGGCATAATAGTAACCTGAAGGGGACTTCGTAACCAACTTTGGGTGTGTCACACTGATCTGTCAGTGAAAAATGTATCATGGTTTGTGTGCGTCATCCTCTTTTGTCCACTTCAAGGTTATTAGCACAATCAATCCACTTACCGTGGTCATCGTCGTTTGTATGCGCATGTTTGCACACTATTGTAGCGAGAAGGCGAGTCGGCTGGCAAGTGTTTATTGATACAATTCAAAAACAACCGGTGTTTGCGTTCAATTATATAAAACCAATTCTTAACCGTGCGGCAAGACAATTCATACCACACTCTGTTGGTCAATCCCTGTTAGTTTTGATCCGCACTTGGTACGTACGTTGCCTGTTTTTCCGCGTGCCGTTCCGACTGGATTGACCCGATCGTAGCGCGAGATACGTTGATCGAACGCTCCGACGTTGTGCTATTTGGTGAATATCTTTCTGGTTAGATGCAGATTGTCTGTGGGGCTGTAATTCTCGATTCGTCCGTTTCGAGTGGTAGTCGACATTGTCTCTCGAAGTATTTCCGGCCGCTCCGTCTGCGCACCTGATTGGATGGGCCCCATTCTTGATTCGTTAGCTAGCCGGGACTCTCTTTGTACCACCTTCCATCACAGCCAGTGACATATGTGCATGCCAGCTTGTTTTGGATTAGCGACCGAGAACACTAAACGATATTCTGATGCCCCACGACATAGGATACACGGGACCCAATTTTTTAAAGTTACGCAACTACATTCTTTCCCGTAAAAAGCAGACTTTATTAATTGTGAACGGGGCAATAAGATAAAGTGATCTGATAGGAAAATCAATACATTCGGGTTAAAAAGGGGATCACAATCGAGCATAACTCCATTGTGTATTCGCTCGTTTGACGACAGAATATCAGTGGCTGTTTGCTGACACCAGCCTCCGAACGCATGCACGATATGGGATTCAATGCTTGTCAGAAGTCCATAAACAGCGACTCATTTTTCAGGCTACACCACACCGTTTAGTCATATGTCTGCAATCTTTCACTAATGCGATACAGTAACAATCGTTGATAGGTACGTTAAACACATACAGCAAAGACTACTCACAAAGCAGAAAATGCGTGGATATCACTGAATTAATCATCATTTCACACAAAAGCCGGATATTTGATTGCGCCATTGTTCCAAAACCGTACGTCTCAGAGCAGGAATGGTTAACATTTCCAGGCACGGATTAAACGCAGTCACTAGAGATAGTAAAACACAATAGTACAAACGGCTGAGTGAATTTACGGAAAAATCAACCAATTCCAAATCGTCCAAGATCGACAGTGTGACCGAAACCAATTCCATCATGGTCATCTCTAGCATCAACACAATGGCACTGAGAAGTATCCCCATCTGAACGGAGATAATGGCGCGTGTCGCATTGTCCAGTTGCTTTCCTGACTCGGTCCTCGAAGTGGAGCTAGCTGTCTTCTGTTTTGATAGATGAATCAAACCTAATTGGTACAACCGTCGTACGACTACCACATTCAGAGTGATCAAAATTGACATGGGTAGACCATAGCGTAAAATACTTTCAATGATCATTATTGTGCGGTCACTTACCAAGAGTGGTCGTGCTATACAAAGTCCGTTGCACGATAATACTTTGAGTACCCGACTCAACGAAATGAGGCAAGCGTAAGTTGGAGTGCAGCAGTAACACACGATTATATAACGTCTCGTATTCACTTGGTACGTATTTGGATAAACAATTGCCCAAAATCGGTCCGCGGACTGGCAAACAATATTGCACATCAGGATTATACGAACCACACGCGACAAATAGCCACTTTGTAGAAAATAACAGACAAACGGATCGACCGCGTTGTTGGGAAAGGGTAATGTGAAATTGTTTGTGGCTATTAATAAAATGGTTAGCAGAGTGTATGTGGCATCGATGAAATTCTGATTGTATAACAACAGCCTCGATAAAAGTGAACTGATACTGGACCGACTGAGAGCAAAGGCAGCGTACACGTTGCATAACACCCCACCCGATAGGACCACACAGAGCACAATAACCTGAATTTTATGCATCGGAGGGAACGCGAAATTGTTGTAAACAATCATTGTTTGGTTGGACTGTGAATTCATCGCAACTGAAAGACTGTTCGATAAAAAGGTCTGAATTGAACGGCGGTCTTTTTACCATAGTAGGCATCCGGTATCTGTAATGTACGCTTTTTCCGTTAAGTAACAAGGGCGAATTTGATTGGNATCAAGGTCAAGCCCAAGGGTGTTATTAAAGCGTACATTGATTGAAATGCATGTCAAAGAGCATATTCATTGGTTTAGAATTATGTGGTATTTGAATTGGTTTATTTTAGCTGTAATTCAGCTGATGGTTTTACGTAACATTTGCAGCGAAATACGATCTGTGAATACATCATGATATTACAAGTGTGAAGTGATTACCGACAAAGAGCAGCCACCA